ATTGGGCAACTGCTGCTGCGATAGGGTCACGGGGCTTAAGTAAAGCTATTGTACGTGACATCGAATTTCGAATTTCGGCTCGTGGCTCGACTCGGCTCAACTCGTGGCCATCCCTAGATGGAACAGTAGTTAGTCTTTTGTCTCTACTCAAACATTAAGTCAAACATTGTGGGGAAGTTTGATTTGCTATTTTCGAGTTATTTTCAGGTTTCGTATAAAACATTTAAAAAATAATTGATTTGGACTTTTGAAAAGACTTTACATTTAAAGAGTCATCTCGTTCTTTATTTGTATTTTATCATAAATTCATTTATTAAGGACTTGTTTGGTCCCCATTTTTTAACAAATATATTTTACAATAGTATTATGATGAAAAATTTGTGGTTAAAAAATTAGGAAATTTTTTGAATTTGTGTATAATATTATTTTATTGAAAAATGTGTAATTGAAATGATGTCAAATCACTGTTCAATAATTCATTTTGATAGAAAAAGGGGTTGAAACAAGGGCTAAAATTGTAAAGTTCAATGCTATGCTATTTAAATGAGGTTAATTATAGGGAAAATTTCATTTCTAAGAGGTTAAGTATCACCTATTTCAAAACTAAGAAATCAACTTCCAAATTTCAAAAATCAGATTTTTTTTAAATTTTTATTTATGAAATAATAAATTATTAAATCAATTTATTATTAAATATTTAATTATAATATAATATAATTAACACACCCCACCTCCACCACCCTTACAGCTCCGGCGACCATTCCGGTCATCACTCTTCTCCGGCGACTGTTCCGTCGACTATTCCGATGGTCGTTCCGGCGACTGCTCCTATTCCGATGATCGATTCCGACGACTATTTTAGGGTCACATTTCAAAAATTTTGTAGGTCACAATTAATTCGTTGATCACAGATTTCAAAATTAGTTGGTCACATATCAAAATTCACAGGTCACACGGTGACAAACTTCCAAATTAGTTAGTAACAGATTATATAATTTTTAGATCACCGATAACAAAATTGTTGGTCACGAATTATATTTTTTGTCACGTCTTATCGAATTTTAAGGTCACAGATTATATTTTTAGTCACAGAAGGTCACACGAACACAAATTTCCAAATTATTTGGTCACATATTTTTTCACGGTCACAAATTATATAATTTTTAGGTCACACATAACGAAATTGTTGGTCATGGATTATATTTTTAGTCACGGGTTATCGAATTTTAAGGTCAGAGATTATATTTTTAGTCATAGAAAACCAAAATGACCAGATCCACCCCCACCACCTCTGCACTATTGCCACGATCACTGCCACCGCCTCCACGA